ATTATTAATTATATATTTTAAAAAATTATGAATTAATTAGAATATGTGAGGTTGACGTTTTTATGTTTATTCTATTATATTTGATGGTTATTTAAAATCACAAACTAGAACCACAAGAGTAGTGCCTGATTGGTTTGAGCTTGGCTCCAAATATCAAAAGTACCAGTAGGTCTCAGGCTCAAATTCAAGTAGGAATAAAAATTTCCTTGTGGCCACGGAGATTCAAATGCGGTGACTCCGGGCTATTCGCAAAGCATATGGTCGTTTTGGGATTAGTCGGCTCGTATAGTGGGTTGGATATCTAGATTAATTATTAAAAAAAACAAGTAGGTTTTTCTAAAATTTGTTTAACAAATCCAAAATTTATATTAATCAATTTGAAATCCTTTTAATCAACATATTATATTATTTAACTTTTATCATCTTTTTAGTATTAATCAACATGTTATATTTTTAAAGATTTTCACTTCTGATTTATAAGAGCTGGTATCGAAGTTTGAAATCTAAATCAGTCAGTCCGTTTGTTTTTACGTCAGAAGTCTGAAATCTGAATTAGTCAAACTGTTTGTTTTTTTGTAAATTGACAAACGTCTGAAGTCTGAAATCTAAATTCATAAGACTGTTTGTAAAACTTCAGTAAAAGAGGTGCACTGGTCAAGTTATCATGTCAATATTACATTGTATTTGCGGGACTCAATCTGATTAGTATTCTACATGGAATGCAATTTCGTAATATTTATTTATCAAGTTATCATGTCAATATTACACTGTTTAATTCTACACATGTAATTATGTATCTGTGGTGCACTGGTCAAGTCTTAAAGGATGTAGTGAAAATCTTATCTACTATGTGTTCGATTCCAGGTGTTACCAAAACCCTTGTAGCCATGGAGGTTCACCTGCGATGATATCAGATCATTTGTGGTCGTTCGAGGGATTAGTTGATGTGCGTAAGCTAGTACAGAAACAAACGATTAGTCACATGGTTCAAATGACGGAAGTCATTGACGACCGTGTAAGTTTAAAGACTCGTGGAGACGTAACTTCTATAGAAACTCTAACTGCAAATTATTTTTGATAATGGTAAAAGATTGAAGTTTTCAAATAGTTTAGGGACCATTTTTGAACTTTTTATTTTATGAAAAATTTAGCGTCTCGAGGTTATATAGATTGAGACGAACAAACACAGTCCCGTATGGCCGTGAACCACAAATGCCGAAACCCCAATTTGTGCTCGATAATCATCAAAAGAAAACCTAATTGCAAGAAATTGAATGATTTCCTTTTTAATCAAGCAGCATTTGATGATCTCTGCATAACGTAACGTTCATTTGGAAGTAAGTTTCTTAGAAATTTTCGTTGATTCGTTCGTTTCGTTCTGTGTGAATTAAGAAATGGACGAAGAAGTATTAGAGAAGCGATTCACTGATTGCGTCTATTTCTTAGCCTCTCCGCTCACTTGCAAGAAGGTATCCTTTCCGTTTCAAATGTGTTTTCTTTGTTTTGGTTTGAATTTACAGTTCGAATTGTGTTGTGGGAATGTAGCGATTATTGTTCTTGGAAATTTGCGGTAGGTTTTGTGATTTGTTTTGTTGCAAACATGCGTGTTGAGAAGCTTTGTTTCTAGGGTTTTACGAATCTGATGATTGTATTGTTATTATTTTATTTTCCGTTTTTGAGGGTGATAATGTGTGTGTTTTGGGAAAATGTCATGTGTCGATATGCTCATATGCATAACTAGGGATGCAGATTGGGGTTTTTTGTAAGGGGGGCGGGGGTTGTTAGTTATTGATTTGCGAAATATCGTGCATGTAAACTTATTTGAGTGATGTAGAGGGTTTTGCCACCGATTCCGGCTAGGGTTTTCATATGTGTTTATCTTTTTCTTTTTAGATTATTTATCAGTATTATCTTTGTTTTTACCTAGGCGATCCGATCACCTGCAAGAAAGTTCTTTCAGATGATTTTTGCAACTTATTTTCTCGTTTTCACTGTTGTCAGCTGCTGACATTTAAAAAAAGAGCACTATCGAGTTGTAGAATGTAGGTGATTAGATTGTTGCTTTCTGAGTTCGATGAGTTTTAATTTTGATTGTTTATGCTATCAGTTTTCTTTCTAATGGTATTGTTAACAGTGGTGAGTGTGGCATTTTGTTATGCGTGCTTATATACACATAATTAGATGGTATGCTACTACTAAGTCTGAAAGGGTTGTTGCATGCCTTGTGTGTATTTGGAATTATTTTATTTTCTTTACTTCTCCTTTTCGCTCTTTCTGATTCGAATCTGATGAATTCTAATGTGGAACATACATGTGTTAATGATTGTGTTCTTAGGGAATTGAATGTGAATACCGGCACAGCGAGGTCGCAAGGCTGAACCCCAGGGATTGTTGGTATTGGTTGGGAGGGTGCTGTTTTAATCCCGATTGTCCTTTCAGACATCCTGTAAGCTTGCTGCCTTTTTTAGCCAATATTACAATTCTTTTTTAGCCAATATTACTATATGTAGAATACTCAAATATGGTATAGTCAGGAAGACACGGTGACCTATCGTATCTAATGCTTAAAGATTTGATTTTCATAAGAGATTACCGTACGCAAATAGAAGAATCCTGTTTTAGGAATTGGGATAATAATGTGAGAAATTCAGTAAATATTCGAGTTTTGAATAATAATCATTCTCAAATGTTGTTAGTTTAAGAAGAGAAGGGTTTGTGGGATCACCACTTTTGACGAAGTTGTCTAACTCAACCATGTGTTATACTAGGTATTCTTTACGATAGAAATTAAATAGCCTTTTACATTTAATAATGAACACATAAGAGTAGGAGGGGTTCTAGTCTATTGTCACAAGGAATGACACTTGACCATTCATGACACTTGACCATTCATGACACTTTAGAAGCAAGTTAAGCATCAAGTATTCAACTATAGTTGATTATGATTTATGCAAGGTAGCTGTTGCATAAGACCAATAGAAATTCTGGCCTACTATCCAACAAAAGGTATTGCCAACTATTTCTGTTGTGTGAGATGTAATTTTGGTATTTTATAATTGGAAATTGCACATAATTATGGCTTGAAGCGTACCTACATAGCAATTTTTCATTTTGTGAATTAGATCATGATCTAAAAAATTTAAATCATAGATTGACTTGCACTTTTTTCTAAACTAATTCAGAGAAAAATCGATGTCCATGATTATTGCAACAACCACCATTTCATAAATATTTTTGTTACACTTTTACACTCTGGGTACCATTGCCCTTTCTCTCTATGTTAATTGGTGATTTTTTCATCTTCCACACTCTTGCTCTCTTATGTATTCTTAAGTGTTTTGTTATACCCTTCTATTATTTCGATGGTTTATTGGTAATCTTTCCACCTCTTGGACTCATCCTTCCATGTATTATAACTACCCAATGATATAGTTTTTTCTGTTATAATTAATAGCGAGTTTTAATAATATGTGCATTATGTATTTCATGTTTTATTGGTTATATGTTGAGCTTTAGATGTGATACCTTGCTATCAATACTTTGGATTCTGCTATAGATAATAGGTTTATTGGATTATTTAGATTCCCAGTAATCTGTGTAGTGTGTAATATGAACTTCTAGCTAGTGCTGTATAAACTTGATGTATAATCATCCCTACCTCGGAATCTATGTAGATTCTCATATTAATCTACAAGAATGCTATCTTGTCCCATTAGTCATTCTTCACGACTTCACAAAATGGCAACGAGTGCCTTCTATTTTATGTGGCTACTACTAAGTTATGGATTAATAAGCTTTGCACAAAACAATATAGATAAGTATGAAAACATGAGTAAATTTGTAAAAAGCATCAATAAAGATTTGATTCTCCATTGGGATGGTGGTTCACCAATATGACAATGGTGAATCAAATGGGATTCTGATTCTTTAACAACATTCATGTTGTTTGCGTCATGTATTGATTGGACCATGAGATTCGAGTGGTGGATCATACAACCATGGCAACTATGGTGTATATATATACCATAGTTGATGGGCTCATCCCTCATGGGTTTCAAGAGTAAAACATTTAAAGAAGTGAAGTCCTTTTGAAATACTAGTAATTATCTAGCATCCTCACAATCGAAATAAGATGTATCTCATCCCCTATCTTACTTCATATGAAGTCTATCTGATTCTTCCACAGGCATTTTCAGGATATAGGATGGTTCACACTTGATTGGAACGTGATTTGAACATTTTCAATGGAAGTGATCTCTTAGGCAGTCTCCACAACACAGTCACCAAATGATTAGTTCAGATCTATATGTATGCTACAGTCACGAAATACCTGGTTCATTGCACTCCACTGTTGATGCTTGGTAAGGTCAGATTACATGTGGAGTGACTTTATGCTGCTGCTACTATCACCGACAGCTGGAGATTGTGGCAGCCTGAGGCAGCTAGGCTGCTGTTGGCAGGCATTTTAGTTGGGGGATAAGGTTTTAGGTTTTTGATCCTAATAGTCTAATGATGTAGGAACCCACAAATAGTCCATTTTCTGAGATTGGAAGCTATTTCTTCTATAAGCTATGTCACTTTTTACATTGATACCATTTCACCATGTTGCTTGTGTCCTAAAATGAGAAAAAACAGTTTGATGTTTTGGATAGCATCTTACTAGTCGCACAATTGATAGAACTTTGTTTTGACCAAAATGTCAACTATGTTTGATCTCAGAGGCTCAGAGCTTGTAGCAAAGACCACGTTCTGTTTGGTCAGGATGAAGTCAAATATTGTTTACATATCGCTTTCAAGGATTGATTTTTCTCTTATATGTCTATTACTGTGTTATGTTGACTCCAAAAGTTGGATTTTTTAATCATATAATCTCACTTTTTTGGCTACTTTTGTAGCCATTGGAAGGATTCAAGGAAGCACACGGTGAATCTTCTGAGCCTAAGAATGGTCCTGCTTTACCTGTGAACAAGACCAACATTCCTTGTTACTTTTACTCAAATGGGTTTTGTAATAAAGGGGACAGATGCTCATTTCTGCATGGACCTTCTGATGGTAGTGTTGCTTGCAAATCATCTAAAGCTGCATCCACCATGAACAATGGCATTCCTTGTGAGAAGAAATTATCTTCACGAAGTAACACTGGATTGGCACCGGTCAAGAGTCATCCTGATCCATCTAAGACTGCCCAAATTGAAAAGACACACACAGAGAGCAAACCAACACTGGATTCCCCACAGTTTGCTTCTGGATCAGCAGAGAGAAGCGAATCTCCTGATATATCAGCAACCCAGTGTCAAGAAAATGTAGTCAGATCGAACTCATTGCTTCCCCGAGAAGGGTTTGTTCAAAGTGAATCTGATGTTTATGATCAAAGCTCAGATCAGCAAGTGGATGGTTATGTAGAAAGAGAAGGGTGGTTGGAGTCATCCCCAGGTTTTGATGTTCTCGTTGAGGGTGAATCAGAAAGACTAGGTTATGAAGGAGATGCTGACTATTTCTCTGTCCATGATGAAGAAGGCAGGAAGCTCGATGTTCATTATGCAGAATGTGGTTTTGCAGACCCGAATGAGTACGATCCTGCATATCCTGAATTGGGAATTCCACTTGGAGAAGAGAGGTATGATGTTTATGATCGTTTAGATAACAAGCGGGCCTGTGATTATCTTGGTAAAATTTCAGGGCAATCAAGGGAGAGCATCTTTTATCGCCTTTCTTTCCAGAAAAGGAACTTACAAGCAGAACCAATATTTAATGGCCGAAGAGGTCCTGATCTTCGCGAACGTTTGAAGAAATGCAAGGTTGACGATAGTTTCCAAAGCTGCTTCTCTAAAGGGTATCACTCACCTCATTTGGTAGGTCAACAAGTTAGGAGACATCCTCGACGGCAGGGGTCCCGTGGTGAGATTGACTTTGACCATAGAGGTAATAGGTTAAGGAAGGCTCCCCCTGTGAACAGATACAAGCAACCTCTAAAAGAAAAGAGGCTTGGGAAGCCGCAGTTTCTTCCATCAGAAGTCTCCAGGGCAAGGAAGCCAGCTTTACAACAAAAGAGAAAATCTCAGGTGGAATCTGCTATTTTTACAGGACCCAAGACTCTTGACCAAATCAAAGAAGAGAAGAAGAAAACCCTGCAAAATCAAGATTTATCGGGGTCATTCAACAGGACTGAATCCGATGGCTTTCAGGGGCCAAGACCTCTGAGTGAGATTCTGAAGAACAAAAGGAAGCTTGGTTAGTGGATACCCATGGTAACAGCAACAAGAAAATGAGGCCGACTAAGTTTCATTGGGAAGTGAAAATATCGTTGCTGAAATACAATTTTATCTCGTGCTCTGTTTCTTTTGGGTTTTAAATAGACTAACCTAGTGTGAGTGAGCTTTCCTTGCTGTACAGTGCTGGTCGTTAATGTTACATTTAGGCTTTAGTTTTTGTCGATGAGAAACTATGCATGTCTGCTTATATCGGATGTACAAGTTTTTTTCTTTTTTGGGGTTGTGAACGGTTTGTCAATCAATATTTTCAAGAAAGTCTTGCAACATCTGCTTTCTCTGAAGTGGTTATCGTTTGATTTCTGCCGTGCAGGTTGTTTCTTTAGTCAGAAGAGGTCTCGGGTTTGCTCCTGTCTGGAATGATGCACAACTTTTACACACAAGTTGCTAATTATTTCTGCTACTGGTTCCTTAATTCTGATTATGGGTTGTTGGCTTTTTGTGTTTAGGCTTCTACCACTTTCGGCAATTGGCTCCTGTTTCGACTTGGAGTTAAGTTCTATCTGCCTATTTGGTAAGATTTTTCTCTAATTATCTCCCACCAATTTTGTTTCATCCTCTGATTTGATCATTATATTTCCTAGATTCTTGTCATATCATGAAAAAGTCTCTTATGGATTTATCAAAGCGGTCAAATGTTGGTTTCGGTAGCTTTCTTGTTTACATTGACTGAATAAATATATACAAATTAACTAATCTTTATAAGGAGTGGTCAGACTTCCATAGTTTAGACCTTAGACATTCCATGTTTATTTCTTGATTTTCTTCTGATTAGGTAATTATGCTTTTACTTTTCGGCAATTTAGAAATGACTGCTTTGCTTTTTATGGACTTCAAATTTGCTTTCTTAGTGGAAATTTACTTCAATATTTGACCAGATTCCCCTAAAATGGGACCACAAATCACATAACTAAATGAATGTGTTAAATGGCTTAAAGGAATAGTATCTATGCTTTTTGTGTTTATTTGGTTTATGCAATAAAGGTGGAATCTTGGCATGCATCAACCCTTTTGATAATTCATTGCACCTAGTTACAAATTCTTCAGTTTCTCGTTTTAGAAGAATCGTTGTAGCTTCCAATTTTTTGCTATATACACCAACATAGTTCAGACAAGCTGTGTATGACCCCTTGTTTGATCTGGACCGTTAAATGTATTCTAGTCCCACATAGAGATATATGCCAAGATTCAATGGATGGCTCGGATTGATTATACATGGTCCAAACTACCCATCCTTAGATGCTATGTACTGTGTGAGTATGTGCTGAATTATTGTCTCTTCCTTGACTTTATCCTCTTCTTAACCAGGAAACATTCAATGCTGACTAATGTTTTAATTTTAATCACCAATCTTTTTATAGAAAATTAATGAAGTGAGAAAACTCTAGGATGTAGGATTAGGACAATAATGTGATTTCACATCCCCAATAGATGTCATTTTACGACCTTGCCCTCGTATTCTCCATCCGACTTCATTATTTATACCCAAAATCAACCCTTTAGGCAGCCATATATGTGAAACTGAATCATCCGAAACCAGAACACCTATATATATATATATATATATATATAGAGAGAGAGAGAGAGAGAGAGAGAGAGATGGCTGGATTGCCAAGGTCAGATGTGTCTTTTAGAAGATCAGGGTCATCAGGACTTGTTTGGGAGGATAAGTTGTTATCTGGGGAGCTTAAGCCAAGAGATGAAATAGAGAGAGAGAAAAGAGAGCAACAAAGATCAGAGCCAAAGCCATATAGGACCGTCGAGGTTGCAACCACAATCGACCCTCCGTCACCAAAGGTCTCCGGCTGTGGTGGCATCTGTGCCATGTTTGCCAAAAACACCACCACCACCTCCACCCAGAAACCAACAAGAACCGGCCACCGCAAGTCGTGATTTCCAAGAGTTCTCTTGATTTGGTTTAGTTGGATGGTTTTGCTCGTCTTTTTCATGTTTGGGGTTTTTTGCTAGGTATGAATGACATCATAATTTGATAAGAATGGACTTTTTCAAAAAAGATGGCATGTTTCATACGAGTTATCAAGTTAATTATTGTTTTGTTGTGCATTAAAAAGTTGTACAATTTGATTGTATCTTGTGCATCAAAGATCATACAATAAACCAAATTAATTTTAGTTTAAGATATCCATGTAAGCAAATAATACCGAGTTGGATACCACATCACTCGCTACATCAGCATGGTAATCGATTAATGTTTCAACTGGTTACTTGGGTACTTAAATGTTTTAAACTTTACATTTTGGGTACCAAAATGGAAGTTTTAAAAATACGTTATTCAAAATAAGAATCAAGTTAAAATACGTTACTTTTTCATGCAATTTGCCATTATCGAAAAGATAATTTTATAGCTTGCGAAGGGGTATGGCTTGCCTATAAGAGACAAGATACACTTTATGTTGAGATAATGAACTTATTCAATGAAGGTAAAAAATGTATACTTAATCAACCACAAGGGATGCTTGATTGGTTTGAGCTTGACTTCAAATGTCAAAAGTATTAAGGGGTTCCAAGTTCAAATTTAAGGAGGAATAAAAATCCTCTTGTGGCCACGAAGGTTCAAATGCGGTGACTTCGGGCTATCTGCAAAGCTGATGGTCGTTCTGGGATTAGTCGGCTTGCATAGCGGGTTGGATATCCAGGTAAATTAAAAAAAAAAGATACACTTAATCACATTAAGAATTTTGGTGTAGTGATCAAGCTCATTAAAGGTGATACTATGAACAATGTTCTAAAATATGTTCTTATACATAAGTAAAACATATCGTTTAAACTTTAAAAAAATGTTTGTTCATATGTGAATTGGATTACCTCATAAACATAATGCAAACTAGGTATGTACAAATTATCAATTATTTTGAAAAAAAGTATACAGTGTTTAGAAGTAAACACATGAAACATTGTCCGTAAGCACAATTTGATGTTTGTTCATAGGTTAACCATGTACTATTCCACATTTATCTATACTATCTTATTAATCAAATTTAACAAAAGTCTTAAAGTCTTAAAATTCTAAATGACCAAGATACCCTTTAGTCATTTTTTCACTTTTTCACTCCCTCCTCTCATCACATACACTCATCCTTGATTTTTTTGAATTTCAATTTTAAATTTATACTTTATACCCCTATAATTAGTTAATTAATTTACTATACGTCATTTACTTTTAAATGTTTCATTTTAAACCTTTATCAAATTAACATACATRATCRTATATCAATTAAAACATGTTTAAAAAATACATTTTTATTTTAACAAGTTACACCATTATAATCGTCTCGTCTCGTTAATACCTTCGAAATGAGTCCAATATT